GATAATAAGCTATCGAAAGCTTCTAAAACAGCGTCCGAAAACTAGCTACCAGAGCTTAGAGCAATTGAGGAGCCGGCCCACGTCGCCCTGAGTATGGGTGATTGGACCACAATATATATAGAGCATATATCATACGTCACTTGTGGGTGTTGGTGGGTCAGAAGGGCGTGTAATAGGCCCATGCGAAAAGACTTGTCAAGTTTGTCATTGGGAGCACCTATTTGGCGCTAATGCTATGCTCCCTTACTGTGAGACGAAATGGAGCATCGACATAAGGGTACGTCTTAATGGGCCAGCCCAGTAAAGAAGTTGTAGGGAAACTTCTTCTGACTGGTACAAACCAATTTTAGAACCTTACGTGTGGTTTTGTTCCTGTGCGTTTCTTCTTGGTTTTATTTTGATTATTTTTACTTTCATTATTTAGTTAATACATGTCTTCTTTTTGTAAAGCACCTTGAATATTTTATGTATATAGGTTAAATATTTTTCATATACACACTGAACTTTGATCCTAATAAATATTGAACTTTGATCCTAATAAATGTTGAACTTTGATCATGATATTATAAATTTTATCAATGGTTAGAGACAACCCCGAAAATGTATTAGGTTCTACATATTTGGATGGTGGGAGAAGCACAATTGTAGAAATGCCTCATATATTATTAGCCAGGACGACAAGGGAGAAGCATAGTCTTAACCATGCTGCATACTATATAAGCATTTTTTGCGTATCTTCTTTTGGTAATGCTAGCATACCTTGATGATAGATCTTCTAGTAAATATTTACCACCACATAGTTACATTACGCAATCGTAGTTTGGTCCCTATCAACTTTCATCATAGAGTTGTAGTTCATACACCGGGATGGTTATACCTATACATATGATATCATTATGTAGTTATTTTTCATCTGTGTGTGCTAGCAATTATACATTGTGCACTTTATATTTTCCAACATAAATGTCTAAACTTAGATTAATTTATGATTGATAATACTTTTGAATTTCTTGTTCTATGATACTCCCTCTGTCCAATAAGGTAGTGCGTATAGATTTTTTCAAAAGCCAAACATTACAAATATTGATCATGTTTATAGACAAAGATATGTACATTGAAAATACCAAATGGATGTCAATGGATACAAAGTCAATTATATTTTCATGTTGCACATTTTTATATTTGTATATATGAATAATTATCTATGTGAAGTCGGTCAAAGTTTGCTTAGTTTGACTTCTCCAAAAATCTATACACACTACATTATGAAACAGAGGGAGTATTTTGGTAAAAAAAATGTTCCTCGCATGCACACATTTTCTAATTACAATAGAATTCCTTGGAGATATCTTTTCTGTGGTATCAACGTTTGCAGGACAAAATACTTCCAAGACTTTACTAAAGAGGCTGCAATTGGAATGGCAAAGCGAGGCTGCCATTTCTTTAGCTGCAAAACATAATCAGCCATAACAGTTAGTGAAATTCCCTTGAGTTACCCATCTAAATAGATGTGAAGTCATGATTGAGAAAATATTCCAACTCCAGAAAGAATCAAACCAACAAAATGATACAATACAATAGCATAGACTCATAATACAGATTAGCGAGGATACAAACTTCTCTAGCTTCATAGCACCACCAGGGTAGAGGCAACAACGAATATTATGGTTTTCTTCATAGGATATCTATCCCTCCATGACATAGGCATAGTTTCGGTCATATACCTTACCCGCGCTTTCGCCGACGACCCAGATCAATAGCCCTGCTCATGACAATTTTAAAATGTTAATATAATGTAAAAACAATATCGCATACATAAATGTTTTGTAATATTCAAAAATTGTTTAACATATATTTGAACTATTTTAACATTTGTTTGAAGAAAATGTTCAAACATGTATTTCAAGATTGTTCAACATGTATTTTAAAAATGTTCAACATTATATATGAAAAAATTTCAACTTGTATTGAAAAAATTCGACATGGATTTGAACAAAAAATAAAAAACTAAACAAATGAAAACCGATAAAACACATCAAAATGAAAGAAGAAGAAAAATCACCCATAAGGTTCTAAAACCGCTCCATAGAACCATCCCAAAATCGCTCCTAGAGCTACAATGTTTGGTCAGCCTGTTTAGTGGAGCATCAAAGGCGAGGCAGGACTATCTCATTAAGCGACTTATATAGCCCCCGCGGCATAGCAGGCCCTGCCTGGGCTGATTTCCTAAGCTCCTCATCCTAGGCCATAGGTCAGTTAAGCGCCTGGGCCTTGCCCGACACTTTCTTGGGCAGCATACCCCGCCTGAGCAGCATGCCCTGCTTGGGCCACTGGACCGTTGTGCCCTCTTGTAGCATCCATGGATGATCATGTGTTGTGCCTTGGACACGAGCAAATCTTGTCAAGATCATTTTCCCAAACAAATCCATCATCCCTGATGTTGTTCTCGATTCTCGAGTGCTTTAACTTTCTGTATCATTGCAGTATCACCCTAGTACGACTTTGTTTCGGGCTAGTTGCATGATCATACTAACGAATCCTTTTCAACTCCTCCATCTGATGTTCAGCTTGTTCAACGAAAATCGACTCAACTCCAATCCCTCTAGATCAACTATCTGCATACTCCAAACCTCACATCCTTGTTCATGATATCACTTATTAGAAGATCCGGCACATACTTCAATCCATTGAGGACAAGCAGTTGTAACAAAACATCGAGGTTTATTTACAAGGTTCATCGAACATTGGTTACACCAATCCATGGGGCATGACTGCGGGCGCTCATCCCCCAAGTACTAAACCAAACATAGTACATTCAACAACAAGCCTGTTGTGGCCATCTCCAACGACCCACCGCGACCATTCCAACAACCCCTGCCACGGGGTCCGGGTCATCCCTCTCATGATCTCTGTCCAATGTACCAGTTTATGTCTGGTCTATTTGGCTATCAAATGACACCTTTATAGAATAGGCTTGGGTCACATGATTCAACTCAATCACATAAATCTCAACTAATTACATGACCAACTGTATCCTGATACATACCCATGCACATTTGACATAATTTCTTTTAAGATGTATTTGACACAATTTTCACTTGGAGAAGGAAAATAGAAAAGTCGGTGAACATGATAGTGAGAATGGGGATGCCGAAACAGCGGTGAGGGCAAGTGTTTTGTTTTTCTCTTTGTGATTTTTAATATTTTACACCACTGGCAGCGACAAACACATCATGCCATCACCGGTGGGATTAGATTCAACGCTAACCTTAGATTTCTGATGGGTCAAATACCACTAGTGGTTACGCATTTTGGCCTGTTACATGCAAATTATGTAACAACCATAGCTTTACATGTGCAAAGACTGTGGTGGCCTGTTATTTTTGTGAGTAAAAGTTTGTTAAAACCATTTTTAATATATAAAATGGTTGTGGTTAATGGCTAACCTTCTTCTTTAGGTATATACTCTCATTTTTGATATTTTGCCCTGTTCTTTTTAACATTATTATCCAGAATATGAACCCTTGTATAAAGCCAATTAGTTGTTTGATGAAACCACTCTGGGTCAGTCGTGTGACATATGGGACATTGACAAGTTTGATTGACCCTCTAAAGGAAAAAAAAACTATGCCTATCACCAAAAACTGCCAATGAGATAATATTCAATAGCATAATTTATTTCCATGTGTTAATTTATAAACATAAATGAATGAGTAAGCGATCAGTAGAAGTGGAGCCAATCAAATTTTTGTATAAAAAGAGCTCTAATAAAGTGAAGTCTATGTGAACTTAAAAAATCATCTTATGGCATCGAACATGCACAAATATTACATAGTTCTTATTGAATGGGCATTTCTCTGACAACAAAGCCAATTTAGACAAGGACGAGCATGGGCAAGAAATTCTAATTATTTTATTTAATATATTGTACTGCATATTATAGAATGTCCCTTTACATATTGTAATTAGTTTTGTCAATATATTTGTGAATATTCATTTATTATACCTATCCATTTTTATGTCTCCTCGGTTGGAATCAGATGCAAAATTCCAACAGTTTTGTACATAACTAATGCTATTTTGTAGGAAAAAAAAACATCATTTAATTACTATTATTATTTCCTCATTTTTACTTCCTTGTTTACTTACTGTAATACGCAATAATTTAACATGCATATGTAACATTATTTTTGTGTGTATACACGCATGCAACTTTAACACACATGAAAAAGCATGCACCAATGCAACATGAATCCAGACATGTAACTGTATATTCCATGTTAATCGTACGGAATATTCCATGTAACCGAATACTGCAGAAACTTGTCCTATGAGGAACATACCCTTATTTTTTTAAATAATATGTCAAAGAGGCATTTCACATGCAGTTGTTCCTATGATATAAACTTTTACGTCCTTAAATATGTTCAAAAGCATTTTCAGTTATTTTTTAGAATTGGTAGGCTGTGCTGGTGCACAAATTGATAACTACTTGGACACAATTTGTATAAATTTCATATACGTATGATGATACACAAATACTAGTACATAAGTCATACACCGATCTTACATACATAGTTTATATAAGGAAAAAGAAATATAAATACATCAATACATACACAGCATACAATTCTTTCGACCCAAACAAGCAGTTGGTAAATAATGTCCCTCTGTAACTTTTTGCGTACCTTGCTTATTATATTATTATAGTTATATTGGAGCATGGAATTCTGGAAGCATGTAGATCAACTTTCATCCACTAGATGAAGTTGTGGAAAACACAACTCTCGGGAGCTGTTGCTGATAATGAGATCCTGTTGGTCTTGTTAGACTTGCTAAGATGGCCCAAAAATAACCCATATCTAGTCTTGGAGGCCCTTCTTCCCTGTCCAATGCTTAAGCAACTACTACGTGTCATATCATTAGGGCCACTCAACAAGATTTTCATGGCCATCCCACACCCAAACACCCCCATATACGGCCTAGTAGGCACGCATTCAACAGGCTGGACAGCAAATGATGTCTTCTTCTTACCTCGGGGGCGTGAATGCAGCTCGTGAAGCTCTGGCAGCAAAGCGGCCGGCAGTGGCAAGGCCGTGCGTTGGTTTATGAACTGCACTATGGTGTCCATGAGAGTCTTGCTGGTCCCACGCAGTGGGTTGTACAGGTGGAAGCCATGGTCTTCGCCCTCCGACTCCACCAATGTCACCACATTTTCATCATCGGCCCATGAGCAGCAGTCATATATGCGGGACGCCAGCTGGCGCCCGCGGTCACGCAAGGTGTCCTTCTCGGCAACGGCGACCAGAACACGCCGGCATGTCAGGGAGGCGATCTCCTCGTCGGCAGGGTTGACCCGGCAATCGTCATTGCCGAGCCGACCTGCCGTAACGAACGGCCAGAGCCTGTCGATGACCTCAGTAGCAAACATGGCGACGCCGTCCCAGACTTCCTCGGAGCTGGACAGCCGATCGTCTCCCCAAAAGTATGGTTGCACGATGACAAGACCCTCAACGTCGATGTGGTTGCCAGTGCCACCGCCGGTGGCCGCACGCACCGCCGTGTTGTAGACGATGTTGCCGCCAGCGCTATCGCCGGCGAGAAACGTGCGCCCGGGATCAGCGTGGTAGGAGAGCCAGGGGTCAGAGAGGGACGCCACCCACTGAAGTGCCGCCCAGGCGTCATCATAGGCCATGGGCACGGTATGCTCCGGCGCTAGACGGTACTCCACGGACACGACGAGGGCCCCGGCGCGCGCGGCCAGGGACCTGGCGTAGTTGTGGTACGTGCGGCAGAACGCACTCTCCGTGCAGAAAGATCCGCCGTGGACGTACATGATGACGGGGAGCAGCTCGCCGGCGGCCGCGGCAAGGGAGGGAAGGAACAGGCGTGCGGACACGCCCGTCTTCTCGTCGATGACGGCGTCCCTTGTCGCAACTCCACGGTTGGCAACCGCGTCCTCGGACGCTGCCACGAATGGACTGCGAAGTAAGCGTTCGACATGGCCGCCGTTGTATTCACGTATAAATGGATATAGGTCGACGGTGATGTCCTCCTCGGCGTCAGCCTTCTTACTTGCTGGAGAACTCTTGCTTGGATGCATTATTGTGCTAGTTAGCACTTAGCACTTGTGTGTAGGCAGTATAATCTAATGCCGAGCATGCAACTCTATTTTGTGTTGTCCACTTTGTGGTGGCTGAGACGAATTAAGCGGTTCGTTGGTTTTTATAGCTGGAGTTTGTGTCCACTCCCAACATGCCCATGTATGTTGGCACACCCTTTAGCTATACTTAGTTCGACTAATAAACCAATTAGGGTCAGTCGTTTTTTTAGGACGCTGCTAGGCGCAGCGCACCGGCCCAAATTTGGGCCGGTCTGCCCCAGCCACCTGATACAGCTACGCACAGCCGTTCGATACAACCATACCTCTTCTTCCTTCCTCTCCTCATCTTCAATGTGGTCACTGGTCAACATCGGAAAATCCATGGCGGGCGTAACTCTCTCCCCTCCATCGGACCCTGTGCGCGGCGTGCGTCCGTCCTCGCCTGTTTGCCTCGCCCCTCGATGCTCGCCACTGAAGCTCGCCGCCCCTAGAAACGCAAAAGGAAAAAAAAATAGGCCGTTGACCCATAGCAGCTTTTCTATTGCCTCCCCCGTTCCCAGTTGCATCCATGGGTGGTCCTTCTCGGGGCCGGCCGCAAAACAACGGTTCTCGCCAGTGTTGCCGTCCCTCTGATTGCAACTAATGCGGTCCACGGCGTCGTTCGCCAGCCGAGCCGGTGGTAGCAAAAAAAGACACTGATTCCAGCAAGAAAATAAGATGGTGATAACAAAAATTTGTTGTCCCAGCAAAACCTAGAAAATGGTAGTAACAAAAATCACCAATGGTTCCAGCAAAACACAAAGCTGGTAGTAGCAAAAAAAAAATCAGGAGTGATTTCAGAAAAAGAATTGATGCAGCAAAAAAATCACGCTGGCGACAACACCACCATCCTCTTGATTATAGCAAAATTTAAAGAAGGAACGAGGTGAGAAAAAAAGGGATAGATGTGGCTGCGGCTCGGTCCTCGTGTGCTAGGGGATAAGAATGAAGACCGGTGCATGGGGCCACAGGCGATCCGCGTGGCGCCTGACGGAAGGAGTTGGGCCTGCAACATCGCAGCGAGCCACGAGCGACCGGCCGAAGCTTCGGCCGGCGTCCCGGCGTGAAAATTTTCCCTTTTTTTAACTCTGCACACGTACACTAGCCCCAAAGTGAAAATTTGAGCGGTAATGGTACGCAGCAGCCGATCCATAGCCGCTCATACCAGCGTCAGGATTCGTGCTGCAATATGCAGTATAACGATTGAATGGTTTTCAAGCTCGTATACAGGACATGAGCGTTTGGTTTATGGGTGTATATATACCTTATATGAAAAAAATTGGTAATTAAATAAAAGTAAAAAACTGAAAATATTTTTGAAATAACTTGACCTTGCATTGTACTTGTAAAAACACTAGAAGCATACACGCGCCTTGCTGCGCCGTTCTACTTTTCCACCGATTATTTATTTGATTGTTAATTCACGAATAGATTCCTTGCTGCTCTATTTGCGTGTCGGGGGTTGTTTTTCACTTCATGGGTCTTCTGTGTTTTGACTTCCACAATTTTTCGGCCGGAACACCCTTTATTGCATTGTAGGATATGTCCAGATGCTAAGAATCATCATTTACTTGGTAGGATATTACTCAGTTTTTTTACAACTATTGTTCTTCACAAAAATGATATGTTAGCAACACTGCCAGAAACACATCCAAAGCAGTGGTAGGCGTCACGCATATCCCGGACCTGAAGAGTTAACCATAGTGTTGGATGAACATGATAATATTCATCTACAAAACTAATTCAAAACTATGATATGCGTAACTGAGGCTTCTGATTGTAGTATTCATCTAGAACAATCATACAGCTCTATAATTTGACCAACCAATATTTCATAACTTACCTTAGTCAAACAATACAAAACACCAACAATTATGGTCTGCAATAACGGTAAAAGGGTAGTGGAAGTGAGAAATACTTGGAAGTTGCAGCACTGCATCAAAGTATATGGCTTCTGATTTTTAATATTGATCATTTAGATGTGTAGTTAGAACGAAAATAGAAAGAACATATTTGAAATAAAAGCAATGCTTTGCACTGACTAATGACAGAAAAGGGAATGGATCATATCTATAGGGGCCTCTAAGAGGAAGAGACAAAAATGGGAGGATCAAGAGATAATAGTATAAGTGATTGATCTCAGTTTTCATTTGGATGTAACATTACTGATGCATTAATAAGGCCTGATCAGTTGTGTATATAAGCAACCCTGTGACAATTAACCAAATTATCTTCACAGAAAAACCAAGTTAGCATCTTCTCATTGTTTTACTGCCAACTAAGTTCAGTTAGAGATCGTGCTCCTTAAATGTGCGACCATATGCTAATTAATACTCCTTCCGTTCTAAAGTATAGTACATACTTTGTTTTCAAAAGTCAAGCGTATCAATGTTTGACCAAGTTTTAGAAACAAATCAACATCCACATGTACTTTTATAGTTTAGTTATTTAGTACTTTAGACATTGATAGTTTATTCTATAAACCTGGTCAAACATGGACATCTTTGACTTTTGAAAAAACTAATATGCACTGCATTGTGGAACAGAGGCAGCATAAAGCATGTCGTGTATAAACTGTCTGCATGAGGTTGTTAATCCACAAGCACGAACATGGTAATCAAGCAGTGAAGCATGAGGCTTTCAAATTGAAACCTTACACGGTGAGATAAAATCCCGGTATAATCTGCTACTTGTTTAGCCCGAAGCGAGCGAGATCAAATTTGAATCAGGCTGCGAAAGAAGTGATGACAGAGGGAGAGGAAGGAGGTATGGAGAGTTGTACTGCAAACCTTGTGGGCCATGGCGTGTTGATGAAGGCGACCAAGTTCTGAAGATGATAGTCATCCCTGTCCAGCGTCGTTGCTAGCCATGGCATCCTACCTCGTCGTGTGCTCTTCTAGGCCTCAAGCATCATCGTCGTGGGACGTTAATCACCGTACAAAATAAGGGGAGAAAGATGGGGCAATGGGCGCTGTGTGCGGCGCGGTGGTGGACAGGCAAAGCCCGTGCATCCTTGTGGTGCGGAGGAAGCGGTGTGCGCCAGGCGCCCGTGCAACCGTGTGGTGTGGAGCAGGCGGTGATGGACTGGCGGCGCCCTTGCAACCATATGATGCGGAGGAGCAGGTGCTGGGTCGGGTGCCTGTGCAACCGTGTGGTGTGGAGGAGGCGGTGATGGCTCGGGCTTACCGCCATAAGAGAAGGGGAGAAAGATGGAGAGATGGGTGGGACATGTGGCATGGTGGTGGACTGATGATGCCCATGAAGTCGTGTGACGCGGAGGAGGCGGTGATGCGCCAAGCTGTCAGTGACCATGCGGATGTGCGATGGTACATCACTTTGACAAGCGTGGATATAGTTGGCCGCGTCATTAATTCCCCTCATACCAAATGTACATGAGCGACATGTAACCCTTTTTGTTCTCGCAAAAAGGTAGTCCCTCCATTGTAAAATAATGTCATGGTTTTAGTTCAGGGAGTAAGTGACACGTAACCCATCAAGTATTGGACACGTAGTCGGATGGTTGACCCGAACAGTAAACGATATCTATTGTTGGATGGTTAGGAAGACATTGGTATCCCCTGCTCACCAGAGTTCAAGCCCTAGACTTGACATTTGTGCTCACATTTTCCTGGATTTATTCCAATCTTTTCGACGATGTGCGTTCAGTGGGAATAGACGTTTCCTTCAACTACAAAGGCGTCTGCGGCAACTTCGTCAATCTCAAGATGATGTGCAGACTCGGTCTCTCGGAGGTATTCATAAGGATAGGATTGCATGTATGTATTCATAGGGGTGAGTGTGTGTGAGTGACTTTGATTTTTATTGTGTTAAGAAAAAAATACCTACTCACCCAGTAAAAAACTAAGTAATTCTCCTAAAAGACGACGTGGTCACTTGATCTTTCCAGCCCGGAGCGCTCACCGCGCTTACATTCGTGGAAGCTTAGATATTGTAGTGATTTGACTACTTAAAAAAAATCGGCTAAAGAGTGTGAATAGTGACTTATAATAGTAATATTTTTTGATTTTTTGCCCTAAAGTCAATGCTCTTTTTTTATTCCTTCAAAAATATATACTAGTGCAAAAGAAAGTCAACTTTATTTAAGAAACGTCTTAAATTTTTTGACTTTTAAAATTAATCTAAACCCTATATAAGATGTATATACACCCAGGAACCAAAGAGTATTTCCTCTAGTATACATGGCTACTATGTGACAAGGTTACATCAACGGACTAAGCTGACGCGTGTCCCACTAGATTTATGTCTCGTCATGCATGCATGATTGCATGCTCCCGAGCCACTCCACCCATAGATTAATTTGAATTCCAAACTACGGGATAGCCAAAACAAGATCAAATTTGAATATATATTTAAATGAGATAAAATTTATTACACTATTTTCACTTTTTTTAGAAAAACAATGTTTCACTCATTTCTAGAAAAAACAAGTTTCACTCATTACTTGAAAAATGATCACAGTCGTTGATTTCACTCATTTCAAAAAACATATTCCACTCAATTCAAACAAATAATTTCAATCATTTTCACAAAGAATGATTTCACTCGTTTTAAAAAAACATCACACGTTAAAAAAAGATTTCACTCTTGCCATTCAATTCAAAGAAATAATTTTAATCACTTTCAAAAAGAATGATTTCACTTGTTTTCAAAAATTCTTTCATTAAAACATGATTTCACCCTTTAATTCAATTCAAACAAATAATTTTAATCATTTTCAAAAATAAAAATTTCACTCAATTAAAACAACATATTTCACTCATTAAAAAACAGATTACATTCAATTCAAACTATAATTTGAACCTTTTTTTAAAGATAAAGATTTCACTTGTTTAAATAATTTATTTAACTCATATCAGAAAACAGATTCCATATATTTCACTAAATGAAAACAAATCGTTGCAATCATTTCCAAAATGAACTATTTAATCGATTAAAAGAAC